GTAATAATGATTCATCCCGATGGGGGGCGGTCGGGTAGCCTAGTGGTTAAAGCGTTCGCTCGTCACGCCGAAGACCCGGGTTCGATTCCCGACATGGGTACAATGTGTAAAGCCCATTTCTGGTGTCCCCCGCCGTGATATTGCTGGAATATTGCTAAAAGCGGCGTAAAACCATACTCCCTCACTCACTCACTCATCCCGATGGTGTAATAATGATTCAGCCCATGTGTAGTCATGGTTTAGACCGACATGTGTAGTCATGGTTTAGATCGACATGTGTAATAATGAATCAGTGAGACATGTGTAATAAGAATACAGGCCATATGTAGTAATAATGCAGTCAAACATATGTAATAACGATTAAGACCGACATGATTGAGTAAAGATGACTCAACCTGACATGTGTTCTAATTATTCAGTCCGATATGTGTAATAACGATTAAGACCGACATGTGTAATAATGTTTCAACCCATGTGTAATAATGATTCAGTGCCATATGTGTAATAATGATTCAGTGCCATATGTGTAATAATGATTCAGCCCTACAAGTGTAATAATGAATAAGACCGACCTGTGTAACAATGACTCAACCCGATCTGTGTAATAATTATTCGGCCCAACATGTGTAATAATGATTCAACCCCTGTATAATAATGATAAATAGACCGACATGTGTAATAATGATTCAGTCCGACGTGTCGAACAATGATTCAGTCCGACGTGTGTTTTAATGATTCAGTCCGCTCCACAGAGTTATTAGTGTAATGCACACAATGATATGTATTATTGACGAAAGGCCCAAGAAACAGTATTTTGCTTTTGCTTTGGCCTAATATGACGCGACGACGCGGCATTTTTCTCTTTTTTTTGTTTTGACAAGCTCATTTCCATGGAGGAAAAAAAGTAGTTGTTTCCTGTATTAAAATGCCCTATTCGCAGTAATTCATATACGTTCAGAGTGATGTCTAAAATGCTATTGACAAGCAGTGTGCGAGCTTAGCCTACATTTTGTAATTGATATCTTTTCCCGTAAAAAAACAAGCCTCGTTCTCAAGTGCGACCTACAAACAGTAAATACAATTTGCTAGCAGATGACATATTCACTCTCTAGTCTCTGTCAACTGGATAAACAGAGGTTTCTACTAAAACAACTGTGTTTTTGTACTTTTATTAGTTTTCCATGTTACGAAATATATTCACTGAATATTAATGCTTTTCACCTGGGTGATAAGGTTTATTCATTTCATGATGAGGACCATCTTTGATAAAATTTTCCCAACTGTATGCATGCCTGACAGGGACTACATGGGCTCCCATAATTATACGATTTTTAATTTCTCAGGAGGAATACCATCATTCCAGCTTTTGTTTCTATTTCCTTTCTGACTTTTTGTCTGGCATAAATGCACATACATTCACAAGATGCAAAATTCTACGAGAGTTTTAACTTTCCACACAATATTAATGCATACACAAGCCTTATTGGTAAAAATGTACTCTTGATATTTTCCACTTGAAAATTCATTAGTTTTAGAGGTATCAGAATTCCAGTATGTTCATACCTTTCTTGACAAATCTCCAGTGGTATCAGTTGGAAGTCCCATCATGATAAATAGTTAGTAAGAGACTGGTATTCCAAGTGAGTGCCAAGAAACATAACAGTTGAAACACACAATTTAGCCATGATTGAGCATAAAAATGCAATAGTCAAGGTAAAATCCAAAAGTAATCGTCCACCACAACAGTAACAGTAGCATACTGCTACAGCAGACGATGGGTTTGAGCCAATCATTGTACTGATAGAAGTCACGTGACTAAAATCTTGACTACTTCCGGTGCTGTGAAGGGTTACTTTTCTTAAATAAAACTAACAAACCAATACATATTTGGGATTTAAGTTCTGATTTATTTAACCGCAAATGTCTGTTCAGTGTGACAACACTGACAAACTATGTCCAGACAGCTTAAGACAGAAAGAACCAAATGTCAAACACCACAACCTGTAAACCATCAGTTTAGACCCCTGACACACAAATTAGACCCTCAATGACATATCAGTCAACACAAATGGTGTTAAACTGCCCTGAAGTAACACATCTGTCTTTGGACACGGAAGCACCAAAGGCCTTATCACCTTCAGAAACACCAGGACCAGAAACATGATGCTTTCTTCAAGCATAATACAGATGTTCTTGACGTATATGTATTCATGACGTCACAGCGTATCATTGTTGGCTTCATTTGGGTTTCTGTAGACGGCCGCTGCTACATCTTATAGTGTAATACACAGAGTACGCATCGTGTGCATGCCTCTGATTTTACGACATTTCGTGTCAGAATTTATGTATTTCCCCGGCGCTCTCTAGGAAAATATGAAACACTCGTTTCGTACAGTACGTCACACACGTACAAAAAAATCTTCATGGATCTCGTCAACTGACCATGCCGTAAACCGACCACTTAATTGCCGATTCACCCATGTCATGGCGTTTGCGATTTTCTGTTTTTGTTTTCTGTTTGTTTGGCGGTTTTACGCCACACTCCGCAGTATTCCAGTTGTATGACGGCGGCCTGTAAATAATCGAGTCTGGATCAGACAGTCAAGTGATTGACATCATGAGCATCGATCAACGTAATTGGGATGCGATGACATGCGCCATCAAACAAGTCAGCGAGCCTGACCACCCGATCCCGTTAGTCGCCTCTTATGATACGCTTAGACGCCTCTTACGGCAAGCATGGGTTGCTGAAGGGACCTAGTCTAACCCGGATCTTCACGGGTCTGTTTTCGTTTATGATACTCATAAAGTCAAAAGAAAACGTACAACTAAAAAACATCACATTATAGATCTGACTAGGGTGCTTTGCTAAAAGTGTCTAGACAATATGGGCGACTAGTTTGTTTTTTGGGGTTTTTTTTAAAATGGGTTGCACCTCAGTACCTGACAAACTATTTACAAAACGTGAGAAAAGCAGTTAAAAGAGCGTGTATTTTATACTGATCAACAGACTTTCCAGATCGATAAGGTCCAGTTTATATACTACTCAAAACAAATTAAAGAACACCCACAATTTGAAGGATGTGTGGTGCAATACCCACCAGCTATGACAGATTAACTTTGGTCACATGAAGAAACCATGTGTTTTTCTAATTTCTTTTGAATAGTATAAAACTGGATCAGCTGCAGGCGCATATAAATGCAATAACTAAATATCATGTTTTATCATTTTTTTTTCAATTCAAATCAGTTTGAAAGCTTTCCACATGCCAATTGTAAGCTACGATCGATATGGAAAAAAACGCCATTGAATCCCAAAATATCCCACGGTGACGTCATCTATATAGGGATGTGAAGTATGTTCACGGCACGATGGCAATACATAAAAAAACAAGTTATCATATCAATAGTTATTTTCTTTTTGTTGTTGTTTAACGCCAGACTCAGCTATATTCCAGCTTTACGACAGCAGTCGCAAATAATCGAGTCTGGACCAGGCAATCCAGTGACTGACATCATGGGCATCGATCTACGCAATTGGAATACAAGGACACTCAATATCCATGCCATGCTACACTTTCAATAGTATTGAAACACCTTATAAAAATAATTAAATCACGAACTACCTCCTTAGCAATCGGCTGAATCTGGGGCGTCGTCTTGATACTCTGAGGTTGGGGGTGGGGGCGGGGTGCTGGGATTTTATAGCGATATATTACAGCGACAGTCCCCACCACAACCCTCGCCTCTATTACAGCAAGCACGTGCTTTTGCGGGCCTATGGTGGATACAGTTTGACAAAGCACGGATATATAAATTAGCGTGTGATGGGTCCGATTTCAAGGTATTTAAAAAAAGATAATCTATAAAATACTCTCATGACTAATTACCGATAATCAACTTGGCCATCTACGTTTACGATACTATTTCGTGGTTTGTCTGTTTGTTTGTTGTTTAACGGCGGACCCCGCAATATTCCAGCTATATGATGGTGGTCTGTAAATAATCGAGTCTGGACCAAACAGTCCAGTGACTGACATCATGAGCATCGATCAACGCAATTGGGATCAACCACGTCAGCGAGCCTGACCATCCGATTCCGTTAGTCGACTTTTACGGCAAGCATCATGGGTTGCTGAAGAACTATTCTATCCCGGATCTTCTCGGGTCTATTTCATAGCAGACAGCTTAAATTACGAGTATGTAATTCGATTTATTACACACAGTCAGTTTCAGGAGGAAATAAATTTCGATAATAAGGTGGATTTAACGCGATATCGTCTTAGTGGGCCAAGGAGATATGTGCATGGTTATGATGACTTGACATAAAATCGTTTGTGACGTCATGAACAATGCCTGACGCTCTTCAGCTAATTGCTGTAAATATAAGCTCACATATTGGCCCCTTCGCAAACTATCAATACAATCTTTGTTTATATTCAATATGCGCGACGAATGATGTGTCAGAATGTGTCAATATGTGTATGTTCCCGATATCAAGTCCTGGCAATTCATTAATACAGCGCTATGGTTAATAATGTGATAAATCGAAAATATTATAATCACGACCGTGAAAGGTGGTCTCCCCCAAATTATATATGTGCGATGATTATTATGACAACAGGGGTTTGCTATACGTTGAATGTCGTAAATACTTTGGAAACAAAACCAACGAACACAATAATGAGGTTAAGCGTGGCACGTAGCAATCAGATTACAAGGTTACCCTGACTCTACACGACAGTGCCTGCCTCAAGATTATATGCGGCTACACAAACGACAGCATTGGAACTCAACAGCAGTCTCGGCTGCAGAGCTCAAAACGTCTGCAGACGCGTCGCGTAGCAGGCAACATATTCAATAATGCACACTGCCAGTGCGTATAGTACAACTTGCGACAAAGCAGAATCTTCCGTAATTCTAAGCAGCGTAACTAAGCAACTCCTCGAAGTGACCCCTGAAACCCATAATTCATGCATGCGAAAGCTTCGTTCGCCGACAGGTCAATGTGTTTGCGCATGCGTAGATACGCATCGTACGCGCAGTAGGTCATACGCTATGGGTTCTAATCATGACAGGCGGGAGACTGCATAAAGGGGTGAGATTTGCGCGGCTTCAACGTACACTGGCTTGTTTACAATGACAGGAGGCAAAATGTGAGGACCGAAGGCAGCCACAGCACTGTTCGGATATGTAGGATGTGTGACACACAGAATTAACGAAGCGGATTTACGATATGTTGATTGCGACTTCGCCATTTTCCCGATGTATCACACGCGCCGAAACCACGACCCGGCCAACTCAATAACCTACATAATGCGAGACGCAATGTGAATTGACACTCAGTGTTATTCCTACGGCGAAGGGAGGTAACTCGCCGTTGATGTGAATCCAATGTTTTCATTCGTACGTTCGGCTATTGTCACCGGTAGCACGCAAGTTTACTAAAATCGTGCTAACTGAAAATGGTGTCACTTTTAAAAGCATCGTTCACGAAAAGGAAGAGTAATTTCACGTACTCTGAGACAGACACGCTTTTGGAAGAAATCGAAAAGAATAAAGAAGTATTGCTTTCTCCATCGTGCGCAGCGAAGCATAAAAGAGCTTTGTGGGATGACATCACGTCCAAAATAAATCGAATTGGGGAGGGGGATGAACGAACGATGGAAGAGGTTAGAAAAAAATGGGGCGATATGCAGTGTTTAGCTAAACGGAAATTTGCAAGGGGGAAGCAGGAATTAAATGAATTTGAAATGCGAGTTATAGCCATGAAATCCGATGGTGGGGGTAAATGGTTGCAGAATGAGAGGACATTTCTGGAGGAGCCGGATGAATTCGAGTTCGACACCTTGACAGAAAACATTCAAATTAAACAGGAAAAAACAGATGAAGAACTTGATAACCCCCCAGTTTACTTTGATGGGAAAAGTTATGATGGCACACGCGACGATCCTACAGATGACTATCCAGAAGTAAGTTGTTATGTATTTTTTACATATTGTTTTATTAAGTGTACGAATACATGCATTTATGTTAATCATAGTTAATCGTCCCGTTTAAAACATATAAACGTATTGATGTGCTTTTGTAGTTGTAGCAGTTATGAATAGTGTGGTTGTGTGACATATGTAAATATATTGATTATCACATACATATATCAATCGAATGCAGCTGCTTATATCCAGTGACTATAGTGTTAATTAATTATTGGACACTTTATCTTACACATAAGACATTATAATATGTGTTATTGTAAAAAGAACTGCATATCTTTTTAATGTTTATACACTAAAAATGATAGTTTAATTAATTTGATTATGAAATAAGGCCAGACCAGTTTATTTCATCCTGTTCTATGGATAAACCTGACCTGAAGTTTGCAATATGAAATATTCTTTTAATTGTTTTTTTAAATCTTTTTTCCCGGATATTAAAACATTGCCTTTATTTATTACTGTACATGTTTCCAAAATGTTTGTACTGAAGAACTTTCATAGAAACCTTTTTTTATTGTGGGTACAAAGTTTTAGTCTCTTAGTCAATATATACATTCTGTATGTGGCATGTCGCATTGTATATATGGGCCGATATAAAATGCTGGCAAATGTACATTAAGCTAACGCGTAGTCCTAGAAATAAAGTGATTTTACTTTAAAATATATATCTGCAAAACACAAAATAAAATCCAAATGGAGCTCAAACAATAGAGCGGAGGCAATCTGGAATTGTTCAAGACTAGGGGCTGAGAGACAGATAACCATGATTACACATGTATGTTCACCAGTGAGTTATCATGGTTACGCCTCGTCCCCACTCATTCTATCTGTGGTAGACTATCTTGCTTGTAAATGGATAGCAGACTGTGAACATCTCAAACTATAGCTCCTACATTTTTGTTCTTACAGATGGAAGATGAAACGATTGGGTTTTTTATATTATGGATATATCTAGGATTTCAAACAATTTTTTTTGGTCATTTATTTTTTAATACAATAAAGCATCATTTGGTCCAAAGTTGTTTTTTAAGTTCCTATTTTCTCAAAAAAGTTAAATGCATGTGTGCTATTTACATTGCTTTCCATGCAATAATGTAACATTATGCACAAAAGCTTTGTTCCCTTTATTGATCATGTTAATAATTACAAGTATTTGTTATGATTATGACGTGTATAATAACCTGAATTTGGAAACCTTTACGTTCCAATTTTTTTATTTTTACTGACATTTGGTATGAATTCGCCCCTCTGAGCATGCTGAAAATGCCACGATAAACATAATGATTCCCTGGTGTGTATATATATTTATCAACAAATGTTGCTGTGGTCATATCAGTTTTAGGGTTGTGTATTTGCCTAAAAATTGTATTGCAATGTATTGCGATACATTTTCTCATTGCAAAGTGGCGGCAACATTCTTGGTTGCAATAATGTCAAATTCAGCATGGTCAGTCTCCATCAATTTGTAGTCATGGATACAGAGGCGGTAACAATGTGAGAAAAAAATCACTTCCTTTGTTTTGTCAATCAATTTCGAAGGAAAGCATCAATGTTGAATGAATTTGCGTGTAGATATTAGGTTAAAGGATAAAAACAGGGCCTGGATTTATGGAACTGAATTTAGCTTGTACTAAGTGGCACCCTGGTCCCATAAATCTATCGAAGTTGAAACAGGCCGGTCTGCTGCCAGTGTCACATAAATTAATGACACTTTGCTATACAAATTAAAATGTAATAGGAACTTGTGCACATAACCTTGAAGTACCCACAGTATCATGACGTCAAGCTTTTTTCCACATGCACAACATTTACTAACCATGCTAACATAAGTAATTTTACACATGTGTAACTATACATACGTGTGTATGTGTAAATTTACTATGCGTTCACATGAAAATGAACTTAGGTACAATACGTGTAAATATGGTATGTAAATTGTGTAAGGCACACATATGCGTTAGTCTGTTCACAACTTTCAACACAAATTAGGTTGTTTTCCAATCAAAGTTGAATGAGAAGAGAGTTACTTCACCGAAAAGTTTCACATGAAGCAACATGTGTTTGATTAAATTTGTACACAAAGTTTTGACTCCTTGAAACCAAAAGAAAACACCGTCCTCTCAACTCTGTATATACGCATACAAGTTGGCAACTGTTGACAATTTGTTTGGTGTTGGCAAAAGAACAGATGTTAATTAGATCAACACATACACACAGTGCACATGGTGCAAATTATTTTAGATTTGCACCTGCTCCAGACATGATGCAAATTTGCTCATGAGTAAACACATTCACATGACAAGTATACTCACATATTTATTTCTACACACCTATGCAAATATGCACACATATGTATAGAGGCGCATATGAATGGGGTATAAGTACCCCTAGCAGACAGTTTGGGTAACATTTTGTTCAAATTGTGATATCTTATTTTAATTCTTATTTTCTGAAATTCAGAAGTATTTTAACATTATATTTTTATATTGCTTCCACTGCAATAATATAAATCTAGCACATAATCTTCCTCTGTATTGGTCGTGTCACAGGTGGAAGATTTATACATGTTACCTCTTCATTGCCATAAAATTAGTTATCAATAAAATGAATTGGTTAATTTAAGAAATTTTTTATGAAACTTGCTGCAGGCTTGGGCTGCATCTTGGCCTCTGAGGAGGTCTGGATAAATCCCTGAGATGACCTCTAAATAAACTTCCAGTACTGCAAACAGTAGTGAGTGAGTATGGTTTTACGCCGCTTTTAGAAATATTCCATCAATATCATGACGGGGGACACCAGAAATGGGCTTCACACATTGTACCCATGTCGGGAATCGAACCCGGGTCTTCGGCATGACAAGCGAACGCTTTAACCACTAGGCTACCCGACCGCCCCTGCAAACAGTAGGTATTACAGCTGGCATTGAATTATCTTGCCATTTTCACAAGTGCACGCACATGTAAATCAGATAATGAAGAGGTATGTTTTGGTAGCCATAAAAGCAAAACTGAGAGTAGACTATGTACATGATATATAGCATGACTTAAGTATTGACATCTTGTCTGGCTAATATGCTGCTAAAATGTACTCTAGTATGTATATTTAAGACCCGTGAAGATTCCGGGGTAGAATAGGTCTTCAGCAACCCATAAAAGGCGACTATGCTTGTCGTAAAAGGCGACTAACGGGATCGTGTGGTCAGGCTCGCTGACACGGTTGATACATGTCATCAATCCCAATTGCGAGGATCGATGCTCATGATATCAATCACTGGATTGTCTGGTCCAGACTCTATTATTTTACAGACCGCCGTCATATAGCTGGAATATTGCTGAGTGCGGCGTTAAATAACAAACAAACAAACAAAATGTATGTTTAAACCAGGAGCAAATTTGCATCATGTCTGGAGCAGGTGCAGATGTAAATCTACACAAAGACAAATTTGCACTGTTTGTATCATGTGTATATGTTGTCTTGTGAAAGTTTATGCCTACGCCAGAGGATGATCTAATAAACATATCTGTTGATTTGCCAACAAATTGGCAACGGTTCTGTATTCTGATGCTGAGGCTTTTCAGTGTACAGCAATACCAACTGTGGACATCCAGAGCTGGGCGGACTGTCTTCTTTGGGTTTTCAGGGAGATCTGGACAGATGAAACAAACACATGTTGGTATATGGGAAGATTTTTGTATTGTGACTCTCTTCATTTTTCATACTTTATCCACACACCTCAGTTTATTTTCACTTAGGTGCGTAAATAAAGTATGTTTACAAATGGTGTAAGGCACACATATTCATCAGTCTGTTCACAACTTTCAATACAAATTAGGTTGTTTTCCAATCAAAGTTGAATGAGAAGAGAGTTACTTCACCGAAAACTTTTCGCGTGAAGCAACATATGTGTTTGATTTAATTTGTACACAAAGTTTTGACTCCTTGAAACCAAAAGAAAACACCGTCCGCTCAACTCTGTATGTATGCATAAAAGTTGGCAACTGTTGACAATTTGTTTGATGTTGGCAAAACAACCGATATTAATTTGATCATCCTCTTATGTTGACATAAACGTTCACATTGCAACATATACACACAGTGCAAATTTACATTTGCAGCTGCTCCAGATATGATGCAAATTTGCTCCTGGTATAAATATACACACATGAGTAAACAATTTCACATGACAAGTATACTCATGTATGTATTTCTTTACATATATGCACATATACACACATATATGTATGGAGGCGCATGTGAATGGGGTATAATTTATTTCTCACTCACTTAATTTAGGAGATAAACGTACTGTGTTTTCAATGTAGAGCTAGGTCACCTGTAGATTTAACCGCACTAAATTGAATTTGGAACTGAACGAGTAGCGTGGGGTTTCAGATGTTAACTCTAGGGCAGTTAAATCTACAGGTAATCTAGCTGTACATTGAAAACACAGTATGTTTATCTCTATTCTACCATGACTAAATAAAACGCGAACTCTTTTGTGTTAACAAATATATTAAGTGAAGCGGCATGGTTGAGTCCAGTGTTTTGTATGTGCGCTCAAGCAGTTTGTTTACACCATAATACTTCACTCGAACATATCACAAGCACTGAAAGCATAATAAAAGCTTGGCAAATTGGTAAGCTAACATGAGGTGGGACCCCCCTGAAGAAAACTAAGCAAGCTTTGCAAAGCTTTCGTTCTACACCACACATCACCATTATGCCGTCATATTGCTCATTGTGACGCAAAAGATATGACGTTACACTTTACAGTCATCTACAGAAAAGCGCCATGTCCTCTATTGTTCCCAAAACTTAAAATACATTGCCTTTGTAGATTTCTGTCCTGTTTGCCACACATCCTTTGAATATTGTAGTAACCGCAACTTTGTATTTTGTAACCTATGATTTTAGATGTACTTATTTGAATATGTCTAACAACAATGACTGTAAGAAAGTATTGTTCCATGAATATTAGCCTCCGCGGTGATGCGGCAGTCAAATCAGCTGTTTCAATCAGAGGGCTTTTATTATCATTTGACAACCTCTGATTGACCAATCAGAATCAAGTTATTTCCAAATTCATGGTAGAATACTCATTTACATGAGTAAATGTTGTGGATGTGAACTTGACAGCTTGCAGATTTACAAGGTGTATCCTTCTCATCCTTTTTCTTGTGCATATGATGAAATTGGCCAATCTGTGATTGGGAAACATCCAGGGCACACACAAGTGACATAAATGATCACACATAGTAGTTTTACATGATGCTTTAATCTCACTTGCTGGGGTGGCACCTGAATAGACTTGTCTCGGAGATTGAAGTAGTTAGCATGGTTAGTGTCAAGCGATGTCATTCGTGACCAACTCGTGTTATTCCGTGACAAGCCGAATAGCGACTCGTGCCCCTCTCATGGCCATTTTTGCGACCGGGTTCCGTCTTAGCGCAAAAGGAGCATACCTAAAACAATTGTAAACTCGTTGCGTAATGGTTCACATATATTTCCCCATATATTATATATATTTCAGATGCAGTTTAAAGCACATCGGGACGTGCGGAATTATACAGTATGATTGACCACGTTTAACGGTGTCTTGGGTATATTTTTAGATGTAAGACATGTTAAATCAAAAATTGGTTCAGATGGATACTTTGATGAAGAACTTGAAATCATATGCGCATTCTGATTGGTTTGTCGTATTTTCGCACATAACTTTCATCGATCATGTCGATAGGGGGACGAGTCTTCTTGCAGGTTACGGAAAGGGGCGAGTGGTGACGAATGAAGCGGTGTGTGTAGTAACAGGCCTGATTTTCGGTAACCAATAGAAAGACTTTAAAGAAACTTGAAATTTATATATATAAAATTAGAAATAGGGGGCTCTCATTAGAATATTATTTTGTCAAAAAAAACAGTTGAAAGATAAATTTCGTGGTTTATGCTGACATCCTGAAATGTTTATATATACGACAGATATATTTTTCCAGAATTTAATTGCCCATAATTAAGGGTGCATATAACACACATCATACATCATACGCGAATAAATAAGTATTGTGTGATCAATCGGAAAGGGTGCTAATCATGCTAATTGGGATTGTTCACGAGCCAATATATTAGCAAATTCGCCGTAGGCGCTTAATTAGAGAGGGGCACTTATTACGTTGAATACGGTAAGTACTTGTTGCCCAGTATTAACAAGGGTCCTGATGGGTATACTGTTGTAAAAAACACTGTTGTAAGTGTACGATTTACACATTTTTAGTGACATTTTATCATAAAAGATTAATGTAAAGTGTCCATAAAGACTGCTTCGCGTATATTATAACCTTACTGTTTATTGCAGTCATGCTAAAATGTTGTAAAGGTCATATGTAACTATGTAACTAATTTCTAATGCTACAATAAATCTAGTCTCTCTTTAAGAAGTCAAGTACTGCAGTGGTAGAAATTAATCGATGATGTTGGTGGAGAAAATGTCCTACTTTGCCAGTTTGGTATTTGTTTTCATGTCAGGTACTATAGAAATCAAATCTATTTAGGTGCCTTTTAAGTCTAATCCTTTTATTATGATATTTATCAATCACTAGATTTTCCACTACCAAACACCACGCCTCCTAGCACATTCGTGTGAAGTACATCCATCAGTTGACAGTTAAAGTACACAGATGCCTTGAATAGATTTTCGAAAATTACCGTATTTGACGTAATAAGCCCCCAGGACGCTCTCAAAATTAGACATAGGGGACTCTGATTAGAATATTATTTTGGTGAAAAAAACAGAGTTGAAAGATAAATTTTGTGGTTTATGCTGACAGCCTGAAATGTTTATATACGAGAGATACATTTTTCCAGAATTTAATTGCCCATAATTAAGGGTGCATATAACACACGAATGCATATTATACGCGAATAAATAAGTCTTGTGTACATTGATCAATCGGAAGGGGTGCTAATGGGTATATACACTAGCCAATATATTAGCAAATATCGCCGTGGGCGCTTATTAGACCGGGCGCTTATTACGTCGAATACGGTATATTAAATATACCCTACACCCTACATCCCATCAAAATGTGAATGAAAATCTAATCATTTTATTCTGGGATTATTTTAACAGTTCTTTTGTGAATATCAATTGTCCTATATTTCTGAGGGAAAACATTCACAACATTGGAAGCAAAAGGGAAAGTGCTGAAATTACATGCTCCGTAATTTGCTTCCAAAACAGACATGTTTGAGGGCGTGGCCTAAAGGCTCCAATGCAGCAGTGCATGACAAAGGTTTTCATTGGCTGATGTGTATTCTTAGCAGCTACATATACATGATATATACATCTTCTGCTAATTTTATATTTTTGAGTGAGTGAGTGAGTTTGATTTTATGCCGCTTTTAGCAATACTCCAGCAATATCACGGCGGGGGACACCAGAAATGGGCTTCACACATTGTACCCATATCGGGAATCGAACCCGGGTCTTCGGCGTGACAAGGGAACGCTTTAACCACTAGGCTACCCGACCGCCCCCTGTATTTTTGAAAGTGTGAAACGCCACCTTTGATCTTGATATTTTGAATAGATAACAATTAACAATCTGTTTCTTAGGAAGAGAATTTATGAATGTTAACTTCTTTATTATGAGGAACCCAAAGTTTCGGAGTTTATTCTTACTCCTTCATCAGGTGAATAAATGCTAGGAAGCTGAGAACTCATATATGTACTCGTAAGAACTACAAAAGTAACCATTTCTGAGTTCCTGTTTCTGCCTCCTTCGACATCATCATGAGCATATATGATGTGCTATGTGATAAATTGCAAAGAACAATGAAGAACGACACATGGTTTATTCCACGATAAAACATTGTTCTATCATGATGTCATTTCTGGAGATTCGAACATGTGCAAAGTCTTACCCCACGAAGTGCATCAAATCACTTGAGCACCTTGATTAAAAACATGGAAACAATTGGAAATATGTTGATGCCCAGTTGACATGCTCTGTAAATCCTGCTGCAATTGATTGAAATCTGCACGGCAGTCGCCATGTTATTTATGTCGATTTCGTTATGCGATTTTGATTGGGCTATGCATAGACTTGTTAGTCCAGTCAAAATAAAATTTCATAATTCCAGCCTAGTTTGGCAAGGGTGGAAACAGGACTTTTATGGTCAGTTAACCCTCTTTGCCTTGGTAAGATGGTAAGAATGTGCATAAAGAATACCGGCAGTGTTCTGGCAGTTGGATGATGTACCTGTTACTTTGGTTGTAGTTCAACGCAACATTCAGCAATGTTCCAGCTATGTGATGTTGGCCTGTTAATCAAGTCAATATTATGCTTGCCGTAAAAGGCGACTATGCTTGTTATAAGAGACGACTTAAGGGATCGTGTAGTCTTGCTCTCTGACTATGTTGATGCATGTCATCGATCCCAATAGTGTGGATCGATGTTCATGATTTCAATCACTGGATTGTCCGATCCAGACTCGATTATTTACAAACCGCCGTCATATAGCTGGAATATTGCTGAGTGAGGCGTTAAACAACATACAAAACAAACAAAATTTTCAATTTATGAAAAAAACAATTATGAATTGATATGAGAAAACACAATCCTGCAGATACAATCATTTCTTGCTACTCAATTTGCAGACCCCAATTCCATTTGACATGACTTCGCGCAAGAGGAAAAGCAACTTCAGCATTCTTGAGAGGAACACTCTACTGGAGGAAGTCCGCAGGTGGCGGAAGATCATTCTGGCCAAGTTCAACGACACTGTGACCCATGAGAAGAAGAGACTAGCCTGGGACGAGGTGACCAAGAGGGTGAACGAGAGGGGAAGAGGAAGTTACCGCACAGTGGAAGAAGTGAGGAAGAAGTGGAATGACATGCAGAGCCTGGCTCGACGGAAGAAGAGGAGGAAAATGCATACCCTGCTGCTGGAGTCCGCCTCCAACTCCGACAGTATGCAAGGCCGGGATACTCCCCAGGCAGCTGACGACATGGAGATGGATAGACTTGAGGAGGTATGGTGCAACTATGCCGTTTTGTTTGTTATTAAACTCCGCATTCAGCAATATTCAAGCTATATGCTGGCGACCTGTTAATATGTCATGACCAGACAATACAGTGATAAATAATGTGAGCAACAATCAAAGCCGTCAGGGGACAGTGACATGCAATAGTGAGTGAGTATGGCTATACACAGCTTTTAGCAATATTCCAGCAACATCATGGCGGGGGACACCTAAATGCTTTGGCTAAAACTTTCTAACAATCACCGGTAGCCAGAGGGATGGTGTAAATCCTGCTGGGGTACCATGCAGGAAGCAGATGTACTGTAAGTCCTCACGGTCCCTTTTATGGTGGCCTAACTTTGGTTGCTGGTGATCTCTAGCCTATTTTTATAATGTATTGTTCCGAATAGTCAAAACTTTGTTGTTACTTACTAGTTTTATGTCTATCATTATGTCTATAGCTGTGATACTGTAGTTCTTTTACTGTCCTTTGTCGACAGAGTTTATAGTCTTAGTATATTTATGTATTATTACTGTACAACTTGATTTAGTCACGATATGGCTGAAATATTGCCTATGTGACTATAAGTCTTCACTCACTCACTCACTCACTCACTCACTCACTCACTCACTCACTCACTCACTCACTCACACTCACTCACTCACTCACACACTCACTCACTCACTCACTCACTCACTCACTCACTCACTCACTCACTCACTCACTCACTCACTCACTCACTAGAAATGGGTTTCACACATTGTAAACATGTAGGGAATTAAACCCAGGCCATAACTGCTTCCCTGATTGAAGGTGTTGCTATTGATTTGTTTCAGATTTAAATTTAATTGAGTACATGTCAAATGTTCCTGTCTTTGATGTTCCACGTTTCACTTTTGAGACATTCAACTTGATACAAGTGTTGTGTATAAGTATAACTTCAGGAAAGTTTGAACTTATTTTAACCCTTGGGACTGTAAATGTATTTCGAGACAGCCGGGAATTTGACACATCCAGTTCCGACACATCCTGGTTAAAATAGTGGTAAATATAGGAAGGGTTTGCCGGGACCAGACTGTGAGTTTGACGCAACCATTGTTTTGACACATCCAAGTTTGAGACAAGGGGGTTCAACTATACTTTATGATACTCAATAGTCCTACTATTGCAGGAGACCCCCTCTGTGGTCTAGTGGTAGAGCGTCCGCCTGGAGAACATAGGTCTGAAGTTCGATCCCCGGCCACGTCAAACCAAAAGACGTTTAAAGATGGTATTTGTTGTTACCCTGTCTGCTCGGCATTAAGGGGCTTAAACAAGGACTGGTCGGCTCGGAGTCAGTATACTGTGTCTGAGTGGGGAATTCATGTTAAACTGCGGCATGGCATCTCAGTGTGCTAGCACTATAAATCGTCATCAGTCGATACTAGTACAAGCACACACACACACACACACAAACACACACACACACACACACACACACACACACACACACACACACACACACATGCACGTTGCTATATAAGTGCAATAATTTTGGACATGCCATTAAACCCCATCTACGGCTGCAGGCACATGTCGGCATGGAGGGAACTGAGGATGGCAACAGCTACGACCACGACATCATGGAGCGTGTCCTGGCTTCAAGCTTCAACGAGGACGAGCAGCGGGACGAGATTGATCTGATTGAAGACGAGGAGGAAGTGGATGATGACAATGACAGCAACTGCAGTGAGGTTAGAATTAACATGTACTTATTTGGAAAAAATGTGCCCTTAAAAATTTCAACCATCTGACATTTTGTCATACATCATAACTTACGTCATGCTTTCTTAAATGTTTGATTATTTTTAGGATAGATGATACACTACTCAAAAGAATTAAAGAGCATGCCATGACAGATTAGCTATTGTAATAGGAAAGAATTGGGTGTTCTTAAGTTTCTTTGAGTAGTATGTATGCTATTATGAAGTTAGGCAGATGCATGTTCAGTACTAGTATTCAGATCTCAAATCAGATCTCCCCTCTTTCCTTACATTAGGTAGTGTTGGGGGTTATTAATTAGGAGTGTCTTGATACACATGTCTCACATATCTGTACATGTCATGGACCCGTGAAGATCCGTGGTAGAATAGGTCTTCAGCAACCCATGCTTGCCATAAAAGGCGACTATGCTTGTCGTAAGAGGCAACTATTGGGTTGGGTGGTCAGGCTCGCTGACTTAGTTGATAGATGTCATCGATCCCAATTGTGTGGATCGATGCTCATGATGCCAATCACTGGATTGTCTGATCACATATCTGTACATGTCGTGTTGCTGGAGTCACTGTATGTTTGACAATACTTATTTTATGAATTTGTGGGGAATCCGGGTTAGAAATGTTCCCTAGCAACCTATGCTGGTCGTAAGAGGTGACTTAACATGCTTATCAATCAGGTGATCTGTCTTGGTAACTTGGTTCATTGTTATTCAGCATACACCGATCATTGCTCACAACAAGTGCTGAGTTTGGTGTTGAACAACAGAAAAAATTAAAACGACAATAACTGATTTTATGCTCTTTTGCATGAAAGTCTCCATGTCCATGCTCTCATAAATATAAGATCCCAGTCGTCGTTACTGCTACATGTAGATCTGAGGACATTGCTACACATAGATATGAGGACATTGCTACATGAAGATCTGAGGACATTGTTACACCTAGATCTGAGGACATTGCTACATGAAGATCTGAGGACATTGCTACACGTAGATCTGAGGACATTGCTACACTTAGTTCTGAGGACATTGCTTTACGTAGATCTGAGGACATTGCTACATGTAGATCTGAAGACATTGCTACACTTAGATCTGAGGACATTGCTATATGAAGATCTGAGGACATTGCTACATGTAGATTTGAGGACATTGCTACATGTAGATCTGAGGACATTGCTACATGTAGATCTGAGGACATTGCTACACGTAGATCTGAGGACATTGCTACATGTAGATCTAAAGACATTGCTACATGTAGATCTGAGGACATTGCTACACGTAGATCTGAGGACATTGCTACACGTAGATCTGAGGACATTGCTACACGTAGATCTGAGGACATTGCTACATGTAGATCTGAGGACATTGCTACACTTAGATCTGAGGACATTGCTACATGTAGATCTGAGGACATTGCTACATGTAGATCTGAGGACATTGCTACACGTAGATCTGAGGACATTGCTACACGTAGATCTGAGGACATTGCTACATGTAGATCTGAAGACATTGCTACACTTAGATCTGAGGACATTGCTATATGAAGATCTGAGGACATTGCTACATGTAGATCTGAGGACATTGCTACACGTAGATCTGAGGACATTGCTACACGTAGATCTGAGGACATTGCTACACGTAGATCTGAGGACATTGCTACACGTAGATCTGAGGACATTGCTACACGTAGATCTGAGGACATTGCTACACGTAGATCTGAGGACATTGCTACACGTAGATCTGAGGACGTTGCTACACGTAGATCTGAGGACGTTGCTACACGTAGATCTGAGGACATTGCTTCACGTCGATCTGAGGACATTGCTACACGTAGATCTGAGGACATTGCTACACGTAGATCTGAGGACATTGCTACACGTAGATCTGAGGACATCGCATTGCAGGTCACGTCAGAACGATCTTTCATAAACTTTATTCGACCCTAATGATATAACTCCAAGAAATTGACATTAGCTAATCAGGAAGCAGCTTTCTGAAGATTTACAGCACTAGTTTCAAACTGGCTGCTTCCATTCCAGACTGCGCTTTGAAAAATATCAATTCAAAATTTGAAAACTGAGCAAAAGAAAATTCTGCAATGTCTAATCGTGCTAATAAATGGCTGAGATTATATGGCAGTACTTCCCATCGACTATGGAAAACCTCTTGTGATTCAAATGATTTTCCCATTGAAGCAAGAGATAGACGATGATTTTGACAGAATCAGTCGTGCAACTCGTACCTGTTTTTTGGAATACTATCTGTTAACCTTTTCGAGGTTGCATGATCAGAAAACACATTCCGACTGTCACTTTCCTGATCTGGTAAGCGATGCTCTGATTGGTCGGATGAAAGGTCATTCTGAAATAACCCAGAATGAGATGTTACCAGATCTTTGTTTAGCAGTAGCGAGAGCTAAGGGCTGATTGTAATGAGATTGTCTAAACCTCTCATGACTTAAATTTAACCTTGTTCTCATGGCAGTATGAAATTACATTTAGCATTTGGTTTCATGATACATTGTAAGAAACTTCTCTTATGAAACTATAGCCCTTTGTCATTTTTCAGTGGACGCCTGTGAGTCGTAGGAAACAGGTTTCGTCCAAGACGCGGAAAGTCAACTTCAGTACAGCAGAAACGAATTCCCTGCTGGACGAAATATACAGGAGAAGGAGGATCATCTTTTCACCCAACTTGGACCGGAGAACCGCTGAGAAGAAACGGAGAGAGTGGGGAAAAGTTGCCGAAAGAGTCAGCGAAATTTGTTGTAACAAGGAACTTCGAACTTTAAATGAAGTGCGCAAGAAATGGAGTGACTTGTTCACAAGAGCAAGTAAATTCAAAGTCAAAATAGAGGCCAGTGAAAATGATGACCCTCTAGCTGAATCTGAAATTGATAAAGTGAACCGCCGAGTGTTGTACATCGTCAAGCAGAAGGATGAGGAGCAGCGAAAGGCTGATGAAGACTTTGAAGTGTCTATGTTTGGAGGAAAAGAGGGAGATAAGGTAGGGTGAGGTGAGGTGAGGTGAGGTGAGGCGAAATGGGGTTTAACGTTGCATTGAAAAATATTGCACTTATATTGCGACGTGTGTGTGTGTGTGTGTGTGGCTGCTTATACTTGCCCGGACTAACGCTTGTTTTATAGTGTCACCTGCATTTTAACATGTGTACTTGACTCAGACACAGTACACTGACTCTGAGCTGACCAGTCTTAGTTTTGTCCCTTAAATGTCAGGCAAGATAACGACAAGTACCATCTTTTAACGTCTTTTGGTTTGACCCAACTGGGGATCCAACCACTGACCTTCCACTCTCCTAGAAGGCACTCTGTCCGCTAGACCACAGGGGCGGTCAAATGGCTCTGTCACACTATAATGTATAGCAGTAAGGTATGAGAATTTTTGCCAAAACGCTGGCAACTCTGAAACACGCTATGGATAAGTTAGGTGTAAGTTGTATAAGTTAAAAGCATGTCATACGCTGAGGCTTAAAAACATTTTTGTACATGATTGTAGACTGCTCTCGCTTTTTGTGGTTATTTGATGAATGGGTGTACACTGCTAGTTATACTACCGTGGGGCCCGTTTTAGGCACCTTTCCTCTACGCTGAGCGCGCTAGTCATACGTTACTCATACGCTGGCTATAAGTTGAACACGCCAGACACATGCGGGCAATACGCTGTCATAAGTTATGTATAAGTCAGAGATCTGCTACTAATATGTTAGACATGCGTTACATATATGGTGAACATGTTATGGATACGCCAAAATCATGGTTTTTCGATGAAAGCTCGAAGTATGACAGCGTACGAACTGCAAATTACTCTAAAACGTTGTAGGGTGACAGGGCAATAAGGTAGGAGGTGGGGAAAGTCAGCTGGACAGCCATACAAGGCAAATTAACTGATCAAATGGTCAGACACAGTTGGTTGATTGTTCATCCTTGTAGAGTGGGATGTTGCACATAATTTCAGTTGCTGGAATGTCGGGTCCAGACTTGATTATTTACTGAGTGCTGTGTTCCACAACAAACATAAGGTTTTGGCCTTGGATATTTTGGATGTAGTTTTTCATCTTCCCAAGGCAAGGGAGTTAACTGACTATAAAAGTCAAGTTTCCGACCTTGCCGAACTAGGCTGGAATTCTGCCGTGCAGATTTCAGTCAATTGCTGGATTTGCAAAGCATGTGTACCGCCAACTCAGAGTCAACAGATATCTTCCAAAACTTTTTTTAATGTTTTTAATCAAGGTGCTTGTGTGATTTGATGCACTTCTCGAAGTAAGACCTGTTTTATCACAATATAGACTTTGATTATCGATCAAATCTTCTTGACAAGGCACCACTATTTTGTTTGAAGCAAATGCAAGTGATATCAGAGGTGGAATCTGATTGGTCAATATGAGGGACTTAGAAGGGACATAACTCGTAATAACCACTGTTCAGCAAGGGTGGAAACTGGACTTTTACGGTCAGTTAACTCTCTTGCCTTGGGAAGATGATTGTTTTTAGGCTTAAGCCATCTATACTATTACCAATAAATGTCTTTTGTCTAATTATTAGGAATTACAACATGTACAAGTCATAATTGATCAGTTCATCTAAGACTTGGTATTTATTTGTTTCCCCAATATTATCCACAATGTATACTATCAGAAATATGCTTTTCGTAAACTCTTCTTATTTTGAACAGCATTGTACATGTTGGGTTATATCAAGATACTTTACGGGAAATTAACCTGAAAGGAGTCAAATCAACTCGTGGCAATGTTTCTTTGTCGTCAACTTCTTGGCATCTACACCACACACATCTGTAGAACACAACATGACGTTGGTCTTGCCAAGTGTTGTGTAGAAATTAGAGTGAGTGAGTATGGTTTTACGCCGCTTTTAGCACTATTCCAACAATATCACGGCAGGGGACACCAGAAATGGGCTTCACACATTGTACCCATGTCGGGAATCGAACCCGGGTCTTCGATGTGACGAGCGAACGCTTTAACCACTAGGCTACCCGACTGCCGCGTAGAAATTAGAGCAGAAATACAGATCGTAGTCAGCTTGATGGCATGTTTGATGTAAATATGATTCGTCAATTTAGTATGATGTAGTAATTTCAATGTTGTGAGTGTGGGTTATCATGTCTCTTGTATCTTCTCTATCTTGCAGGCCAAACAAGAAAGGATGGCCTCCAAAAACCACGTAAGTGTCAATAAGAAGATAGCATTACAAAGACAATAAATGTTGCCATTTTTCCTGCCAAAAGCATTTAGTTTTTTGCAGTTGCTTTTGATTGTTCTTAGATATTTCTTGTTTTCCTAAATTCTTTTTTAGTGTTCTGAGGTATATTTTATATTGCCTAAATTCTTTTTGATTTTTCTTTTGAGGTATTTTTCGTTTCTTAATTTTCTTTGAGTATTCTGAAGTATGTTTAAGATTTCTAGGTGCCCCATCAACAGAGACTTAGAGTTGCCTCCCTTGGCTTGTTTCAAGGATGTTGCCTTAACTAAAAAGTTTTTTTCTTTGCAAAATAGTAAATATTTCAATTAATGAGAGACACCGAACAGAACAAACAATGTCAGTAGCATTATGACAATTTGCAGGATGCCCACCCGGAAAAGCCTGATTCTGATGATGATGATGATGATGATGATGATTATGATGATGAAAAGCCTAAGTGTGACTTACCCAATTCCCCCGAGCCAGACACAGACCCAGAAGGAGACAATCTGGACAGTGGCATCATTATAGTGCAAGTTGAAGATGGCCACCACATAGGTGTGAAGAAAGTCGTAGACGTCATCAATTTGAAGAAGGAGCCTCCAGCGGCACCAGCGACGGTCGACTCGCCGCTTGTCATAGAGAATGTAGCCAGTATAGACGAGCGGGTGTTTTCAAGCATGGACAGTCATGATGTGTCTTCCCCTCCTTGTGATGACCACGGACACCGAGGACACAAAGACAGGCATGGGACCGTGGACATGGGGAACAATGTTGACCTAGACACTAATAGTCTGGATTACCAGGTTGGTTAAATAATGAATCACTTTTAAGATTAGTAGCACTTTTGTTCTCCCAGCAGTGAATGGGTACCCGGTAGAATGAGATGGCAAAGTGACTGGTAACCTTCTAGTGCCTCACAGGCAGCTTTGGTTGTATACTCCCTGGGGAGCTGAGAATGAGAATTGAGTACATCCTGATCCATTGCCCGGGTTGATTATGCAGTGATCTAGTATACACTGCATAAGGATCTTTTCTCTTAACAAGAAGTCTATTATAGTGGATAGGAAGCCAGGTGGTGTTTTATGTGTGTTTCTGTAATTAGTTTTGGTTAATCTTTGCATGCCATGATATTATTGTCGGCTTGTGTCATGGATTTTTTCTTTCGTCAATCTCCCATGGTTTCATTAAAGTTTCATATATTACATGATATTTAAGATTTAATGTGAAATGAAAACCCTGCTGCTGGTGAGTCAGGTGAGTGTTTGGTTGAGAGTCAGATGAGTGTTTGGTTGAGAGTCAGGTGAGTGTTTGGTTGAGAGTCAGGCGAGTGTTTGGTTGAGAGTCAGGTGAGTGTTTGGTTGAGAGTCAGGCGAGTGTTTGGTTGAGAGTCAGGCGAGTGTTTGGTTGAGAGTCAGGAGAGTGTTTGGTTGAGAGTCAGGTGAGTGTTTGGTTGAGGAGTCAGGTGAGTGTTTGGTTGAGAGTCAGGCGAGTGTTTGGTTGAGAGTCAGGTGAGTGTTTGGTTGAGAGTCAGGCGAGTGTTTGGGAGAGATAGGAGAGCGTTTGGTAAAGAGGTAGGTGAGTGTTTGGTTGAGAGTCAGGTGAGTGTTTGGGAGAGAGTCAGGTGAGTGTTTGGTTGAGAGTCAGGTGAGTGTTTGGGAGAGATAGGAGAGCATTTGGTAAAGAGGTAGGTGGTGTTTCATTAGAGAGGCAGGTGGGGTGTTTTGTTGAGAGGCAGGCAGTGTTTGGGAGAGAAAGGCAGTGTTTTGTTGATTTAGAGAGTACGGTTTTACGCCGCTTTTAGCAATATTCCAGCAATATCACGGCGGGGAACACCAGAAATGGGCTTCACACATTGTACCCATGTCGGGAATCGAACCCGGGTCTTCGGCGTGACGAGCGAATGCTTTAACCACTAGGCTACCCGACCGCCCCATGTTTGGTTGAGAGTCAGATGAGTGTTTGGTAGAAAGTCAGGCGAGTGTTTGGGAGAGATAGGTGAGTGTTTGGTAGAGAGGCAGGCTGGTGTTTGGGAGAGATAGGCAAGCGTTTGGTAGAGAGGCAGGCTGGTGTTTGGGAGAGATAGGCGAGTGTTTGGTAGAGAGGCAGGCTGGTGTTTGGGAGAGATAGGTGAGTGTTTGGTAGAAAGTCAGGCTGGTGTTCGGGAGAGATAGGTGAGTGTTTGGTAGAGAGGCAGGCCGGTGTTAGGGAGAGATAGGCGAGTGTTTGGTAGAAAGTCAGGCTGGTGTTCGGGAGAGATAGGTGAGTGTTTGGTAGAGGGGCAGGCCGGTGTTTGGGAGAGATAGGTGAGTGTTTGGTAGAGAGGCAGGCTGGTGTTCGGGAGAGATAGGTGAGTGTTTGGTAGAAAGTCAGGCTGGTGTTTGGGAGAGATAGGCAAGCGTTTGGTAGAAAGTCAGGCTGGTGTTTGGGAGAGATAGGCGAGTGTTTGGTAGAGAGGCAGGCCGGTGTTTGCCTAGAAAGGTAGATAGGGATGAAAATCTAATAATGGCTTTGTCATATCTTTCATCACTTATTTTGAATCCTTCACAGACACCAGAGACCCCCGAACAGTTCATATTCCGAAGAAGGAAGGGCAAGTTCTCTTGTCAGGAGACATCTATTTTGTTGGATGAGGTGAAGAGAAACAAGTCCCTGCTTCTGTCCAAGCTGACTGCAGCTGCTGTGAATGACAAGAAGAGGTGTCGATGGAAGGAAATTACTGCCAAAATAAACAGTGTACGTGCTGGTGTCCATCGTAGCGTTGATGAAGTCAAGAAGAAGTGGTACGATCTTCAGTGCACTGCCAAGAAAAAACGTGCTTTGCAAGAGAGTTTGCTGGAGAGACTGAAGTTGAATCAGATAACGGAAAACGGGGATGAATTTGACGCCGGTGAAATTGATGGCGAGAAATCACAATCACCAAATTTTTTCAAATCACATTCAAAGTTGCTGTCGATTCTCGGCACAAATGGAGGTCAGGCTGAGACGGAAAAATCTGACATGGCGACGCAAGCAGACAGCGACGATCTCGTGGGCGTTGGGGAGCCTGCCGATCATGGGCTGAAAGTGATGAATGAGGATGGATCCAATTCCAATGATGGCGACAGGCCTCAAGTTGTGTCTATTTCCACTGATAAGATCAGGGAAAACATTAAGTCAGCTCCAAATATCTTGACGAGGAATGATTGGCGGGTGTTGGAAATTACTGATGGTAACACGTGTGAGATCGCTAATTATGCTGCTATTGACCATAACTATGAAGTGAGACTTGACAAATTGTCAAAGAACAATGAGAAGGACGGTGTCTGTTTCTCTGAGAACCAAGTCAATGAGTGGAAAATTGAGTCTGTGGTGTCTCAAGCTGACTCTGCCAGTGCCAACGTAAATTTGCAGCTTTGTAAGGTAAGGCCCCTGTGAAGATCCGGGTTAGAATAGGTCTTCTGCAACCCATGCTTTTCTCCCTGTGAAGATCCGGGTTAGAACAGGTCTTCAGCAACCCATGCTTTTCTCCCTGTGAAGATCCGGGTTAGAATAGGTCTTCAGCAACCCATGCTTTTCTCCCTGTGAAGATCCGGGTTAGAATAGGTCTTCTGCAACCCATGCTTTTCTCCCTGTGAAGATCCGGGTTAGAATAGGTCTTCAGCAACCCATGCTTTTCTCCCTGGGAAGATCAGGGTTAGAATAGGTCTTCAGCAACCCATGCTTTTCTCCCTGTGAAGATCCGGGTTAGAATAGGTCTTCTGCAACCCATGCTTTTCTCCCTGTGAAGATCCGGGTTAGAATAGGTCTTCTGCAACCCATGCTTTTCTCCCTGGGAAGATCAGGGTTAGAATAGGTCTTCAGCAACCCATGCTTTTCTCCCTGGGAAGATCCGGGGTAGAATAGGTCTTCTGCAACCCATGCTTTCCATAAAAGGGGACTATGCTTGTCATCAGAGGCGACTAACAGGATTGCGTGGTCAAGTTCACTGACTTGGTTGATGCATGTGTTCGTATCCCAATTGCATTAAAAAAATGTTCATGATGTCAAATACTGGATTGTCTGGTTCAGACTCGATTATGGACTGCTGTCACATGGCTGGAATATCGCTGAGTTCGGCATTAAACAAGAAGAAAAAATGAAGAAAAAAACAACCTATTTTGTGCAGTTTTGCACCCATGTTGAGAAGTGTATGCTATCAACCAGTTTGTGTACAACACCCATGACTTGTTAATTAAACATAAAAAACAAACCATGATTACTTCAAACGATTCTCAGTTAAAATCAAACTTGAAGGGAAGCAGTGTGTTTATTTGCATGGTATTATTTTGTTGTATTATATCACAGGAATCTAAACTTTCAAGTGCAATGTTGAGAAATAATAGCCCGCTCTGTGGTATGGGGAGGGTGAACTGCAGCAGGGTTAGTCTGTGGTCTAGGTAAAGGTTTGGAGCTGGTGCTTGGTAAAAATATGTACTGCTTAAAAACTACAGCAGGAGACCCCAACACACAAGGCTCTTCCTTAAGTTCAATCTGAACAGTACTATTAATTCTCAATTCTCTCTTAAAAATCCCTATCAGGGCTCAATTTAACTATATAAGCTATGCACTAGCTCAACCTGATATTGACAAATGCAACCTATTATTTATTTCTACATGCACCCAGTGCATGTCAAAATTTTATTAGAAATAAATCACGCCGTGACAGCATCATCTTCCTGAGGCAAGGGCACATTAACTGACTGTAACAGTCCAGTTTCCACCCTTGCCAAACTTCGCTGGAATTTCTGGGCTCAATCGTAGCGCCACCAGTGGCCATAAGAGTTATGTCCCTCCTATGTCCCTCCTACTGACCAATCAGATTCCATCACTTGCATTAGCTTCAAATACAATTGTGTCGCCCAGTAAAGATGATCTGATCAGTAATCAAGATCTATTTTGTAATAAAATGGTCTTACTTCGCAAAGTGCATCAAATCACGTGAACACCTTGAAAATAAACATGAAAAGATTCTGAAAATATTTGTTGAAGCTAAGTTGTTGGTACACATACTTCGCAAATCCTGCAATCAACTGAAATCTGCACGGCAGTTTACGACGTTGATGTTGATTTCGTAACGTAATTTTTATTCGACTTCATAGATTTGTTAGTCCAGCCCAAATATAACTCTATAATTCCAGCCTAGTTCAGCAAGGGTGGAAACTGAACTTTTATAGTCAGTTAACTCACTTACCTCGGGAAGATGTGACAGTGGCAGTTGCTTTTTGTGAGGCATGTCAGATTTGGCTTCTAGTTCTACCTGTAATATTGGTGCCAGGAATATTTCTAGAACTACATCTGCCCCAAGTGTAGGAAATACTACTGCCAGTATAGCATGGTATGGTTCATAGGTACTGATATGAGTTTAGTCTGGTGCAACAAGGTTTTGACGTCAACATGCACCAAGTGCAATCTATGGCTAGTTCTTTACATCAAGACCTGCCTGTACCTGTGGTTATCTTAATCTATCCTGCTCTTTCAGAAATCAAAACTTCCTCAAGACGATAGCGTGGACACAGCATCTACAGTTAGTCACATTACGGCCGACATTGCCCAACAGCGTCTGAGAGTGGAGCGCAAGCGTCTCTCGGTGGAGCGGAGGAGGTTGTGCGTGGAGCAGGAGAAACTGAGGCTGCTTCGGAGGCTGGTCAAGCTGGAGGAGAAGCGGCTCGGGAAACGGGCCGGTAAAAAGACCCACCACAAGACGAAAGGGAGAAGGAAACAGAAAGGTCATAGGATTGACGGTGGTCATACGGTAGAGAACGTAAGTGAACATTGTGGGGACAGTGAAGAGGGAAAGGATCGTACAGACCAGGACCGTAGGGATTGGTTAGAACAGGACAAGGATGGAATGGATCCGCAGGATAGAGTTAGTGAGGAGGGTAATGATCTGACGGAGTGTAGGGGTCATCAGAACAATAGGGATCAGATGGAGCAGGATCAGATGGCACAGGAGAACAGGGAAAGTGAAGCAGAACTGGATGGGCAGGAGAGCGTTGAGGAAACGGAACAAGCGGATCAGGACAGTGAGGACATGGACCAGGGCAGTGGTGGGGAGGATGGGGAGCTGGGTAGTGTTTCTGGCGGAATCGACCATGCAGAGCAGGAGGAACAGGGTGTTGGTGAAGGGAGGCAGGAGATGGATGGTGAAGAAAATGACCAGGAGGAAGCGAGTGTTAGTGAAGAAATGGACCACGTTGAACAGAAGGACCAGTCGGAAGAGGACAGTGTCGAGGGGAGTGTTAGGGGAAGCAGAGAGGGGAGTGTCATACGCAGTGTTGGGGGTAGTGTGGAGGACAGGAGTCAGGACACTGGGTCTGTGGACGAAGACCAGGAGAGTGGGGAGGAGAAGGACATGGCTGTGGACGAGGAGGAGATGTCGTCTGCAGCGGAGGAGAAGGAGGAAGGGGAGTGTGATGAGAGTGGAGAAGACGATGGAGAGAGACTGTCTATAAAATATCTCCAGTGTGACTGAGGACATGAATGAGCATGGCATATACATTGTACTTGATTTACATTTAAGACGCATTACTGTTTGTTTTGGTAATGCTGTGATTTAATTAAGCATTTTATTAAGACTTTATTCATTAAGAATTGTATGATACGTGTTTACCAGACATTTGTAAATATCATTGATTTATTCCACATTGATGAAGCATTTTTCATTCTTATTTTTTCAGATAATTTCATGTCATTGATCATTTATGATTATCAATACTGTTTTTTTGTATTGATTGGTTTGTAACATGGTGAAATTGAAAAGTAGCTTTGTGTACGCTTTATTCCCAGAGGATGAAGAATGTATTTGTGTTGATCTCTTACAAAGCCCCAAGTTATGAATCTCGGATGTGTATTTGTGTCACGCTATGAGCAAACTTTAAGGCATGGATATGATACAATATAAGGATGCCTAAGTGTTAAGAACATTAGGATGTTTTTAAGGTTGATTTTGTATTCACGACTGAATTGTGTAAATGTCAACTTGTTCCTGTCGCTCATGGCTGAAATAATGCCAATGAGACGTTTAGTTTTAACTCACTCACTATTGATATAATTACTCGGAGATGCCAACCATTGAGAATTTGGTGTCATTGTTAGGATTTGGAGCCTAATTTTTTTATCCTGTTACACTTTTCCTCCCATAAATTACGATTTTTGTGATTTTGTTCTCGAGTTCCTTACAGGCATAAAATATCACAGAGAGCAAATTGATAATGCCCTGGTCACATGAAGCATTCTACTATGCTTTCAATTAACATAGCGTGTGGGGCACGGGTGGCCACGTCTTCTAAGGCGCAGTGATTCCCCGTGCAGAGTTGCGTCCCATGGGCACGCCAGAAACCTAGGATTGTGGGTTCGAAACCCGGTTCGCCCTGATTTTGTTTCGAGGTTTGTCAGCAGTATACCCGTGCTCGTGAGTTTCACCAATGTGGTAAACCTCTGAGACCTATGTCACTTCAGGCTTTCCTCCCACATTAAGCTGACACGCCACAATATAACTGGAACACTGTTAAAAGTGGTGTTAAACCGAACTCACTCACTCACTCACATCGTGTTTATAAGCCATCACTCAGATTGATCTGTTAAAGGACGGACCAGGACGCGAATACACACACACTTGGGACGAGATGAGGACGTACTGCCATCGAGTTGGTTGGGTTAAGAATCAGTTAGAGCTGGCTTGGACATATTGTGAACGAGGTAGAACGAGGTTGAACTGGTTAAGAACGGGTTGAGATCGACTACGGATGTGCTCGAACTGCTTCAAAACGTTGTCGGGATGAGGTGAACGGGCACTTTTACACGATCTGAACTGGATACAAACTGACTGCAGACTGCCCAAGAACGAGATAAGAACGAGATAGACGTACTGAGGACTGCCTTTGAACGAACTAGCATCGTATTTTACGCCAAACTACGCGTTACTGTGATCACAGCCCGTTCTATTATTTTGTATAGAACGGGGTAGAACGGGATAGAACTACTTTGGTGTGAGGGTAGCATTAGGTTGGCATCTCTGATTACATGCTGTATAGTCTCCATGTTTGTAATTACTGAAAACTGCGGAACAGATTTTACTTGGCATGTGCCACCGGTGCAAAATGTGCCAGTTACTCTTTGGTGGTGTGTAATGTCATACGAAGCAGAGTGTGTTTATTGAAGCGTTTCGTATTCATTTTCAAAGAAGACTTGCACCGAAAATAGAATGAGTTACCACTATCAGTTATTTGTATTAGTACAATACCAGTACAATACAAGACTTTGATCCGAGAATGAGTTACCGCTATCAGTTATCTGTAAAAGTACAATACCAGTACAATACAAGACTTTGATGACAGAATGAGTTACCGCTATCAGTTATCTGTAATAGTACAATACCAGTACAATAAAAGACTTTGATGACAGAATGAGTTACCGCTATCAGTTATCTGTAATAGTACAATACCAGTACAATACAAGACTTTGATGACAGAATGAGTTACCGCTATCAGTTATCTGTAATAGTACAATACCAGTACAATACAGGACTTTGATCCGAGAATGAGTTACCGCTATCAGTTATCTGTAATAGTACAATACCAGTACAATACAAGACTTTGATGACAGAATGAGTTGCCACTATCAGTTTTCTGTAATAGTACAATACCAGTACAATACAAGGCTTTGATGACAGAATGAGTTACCGCTATCAGTTATCTGTAATAGTACAATACCAGTACAATACAAGGCTTTGATGACAGAATGAGTTGCCACTATCAGTTTTCTGTAATAGTACAATACCAGTACAATACAAGGCTTTGATGACAGAATGAGTTACCGCTATCAGTTTTCTGTAAAAGTACAATATAAGACTGATAATAGAATGAGTTATCTGTATCAGTTATCTTTACCGTCTTCGACGTAATAAGCGCCCTGCTCTAATTAGCGCCCACGGCAATATTTGCTGATATATTGGCGAGTGAACAATCCCAATTAACCTTCCGATTGATCAATGTACACAAGACTTATTTGTTCTTGTATAATACGTTTGTTATATGCATCCTTAATTATAGGAAATTAAATTCTGGAAAAATATATCTGTCGTATATAAACATTTCAGGTTGTCAGCATAAACCACGAAATTTACGTCCTTTTTTACTCTGTTGTTTTTCACCAAAATAATGTTCTAATAAGATCACCCTGTTTCTAATTTTGAGAGCGCCCTGGGCGCTTATTATGTCAAATACAGTAATTGTAATAGAAGTACAATAGCGGTACAATGCAGTATCATACTCAACCATAAAACCTCGTATCATTTATTGATGATTTGTGGGCTTGTTACTTAATCATGTTTACTTTATGGGAGGAGTTTTTATGTCAGACCGTGAACAATAACACTGATAGAGGTCATAAGGATTTAGTGAGTATCACAATTACAGTATCACAAAAACTAGTGCCACATGTCATCATGGTATGGTGTCATTAACTTGAATTCATGATGGGTGTTGTGAGATAGTAATGTCATGTAGTGTCATGATGAAGGGTCATAAATATGACAATATAGGCTTCATGTGTTTCGTCAGGACGTGCTTTGGTTACTGAGGGGGATCACCGTGATATGGTTTCTTGATGTATTAATTTGCTTATTGTGAAGCAACAACAACAAGCCAGGCATATAAAACTGTAATATTTATTACAACGTTTTTAAACATTGGCATGAAGTATGAGTGAGTGGGAGTTGTTGTTGCTGCACAAACAACAATGTATAAATTTGCATTAAGTTGTTTTTCAATTATGGTATTGTCAAATAGATTTATCACATCGGTGAGGATATCGTCACATTTTCATCTGGGCATTATGATAATTCAGCATCATGATTTTAGATATGTGTATTGTCATCACAGATTGTCATATTGGGTGTCATTATTCTTGACAGACAAGGTCACCGTTGTTATTAGCAGGGAGGCACGGGTGGCTCAGCCGTCTATGGTGCCGCAATTCACTGTGCAGAGTTGTATCCCTTGTGCACACCAGAAACCTATGATTGTGGGTTCAAATCCCAGTTCGACTTGATTATGTTTCTAGGTTTGTCAGCAATAACACGTGCTTGTGGGTTTCACCGAACTTGTAAACGTCTGAGAGCTGCATCACATGGGCTTTCCTCCAACATTAAGCTGACATGCCGCGATATTACTGGAATAGTGTTAAAAGCGGCATCAAACCCAACTCACTCACTCACTCACTGTTATTGGCAGATTCCTCAATGTGGCATTATAGATTTGTTTGTATCATGTTGGTTTCTCACCACAATATAGTGTCAAGGTAAATCATGTGTCATGTGTGACTGTATCAGTCCATCTTGACTCACCTCTCCATCATGTCAAAAAGTTGTTAAGTATTGGAGAAAACACGCTCGCTCTGTCTACCAAAACCGAGGGAAAGTGTTTTTCCATGCTTATAAACCGAAAAAAGAATTTTTATGTTTCGAACATACTTTCCATGAACCTTAGGAAACGCGCGTAAAATATCTGTTGCTGGCGTACGGATCTTGAAAAGGACATTCTAAAAACCAGTGAGGCTTATCAACACCTCTGTACCCTCGTGGTACACGCACTGGGCTACAGATATGAAGGTTGTGAGTTCGATCCTCGGGAATATAAAGAAAACATTTGTCATTTGATTTTACATTTCATTACATGTTAAAATCTGAACGGAAGTTATATTAATAAAATACCCAGGACATTATATAAAATCCCTGGGATATTATATAACATTACAAAGTCCCTGTTTATGAGATTTAACCTAACTGGAAAGTAAAACCTCACAATAGGTTTTAATGCCTATAGAAAGAAGTCTCTTACTTAATAGCGATCCCAATGAATAGGTTTATAAGGTTAATGTAAAGGAGTGGCCAGGTATGTATTCTTTATCTTACTTAAAATACAGCATCCAGTCAACAAAATGCTGAGTAATCACATTTGATATACAGCCTGATAGTTCAAGTAAATCAGTGTTAAATGAAAATGAATATTTCTACTAATAATAATTAAACAACACATATATGCTGCACTGAAAATTCATTCAGTACATTCATTATACATGTGTGTACATGAAAATCTTAAACTTTGTGCTGCATTTGAACTAGTCTGTGCGCTTAACGGGATCGGGTGGTCAGGCTCACTGACTTGGTTGATAAATGTCACCGTATCCCAATTGCATGGATCGATGCTCATGATGTCAATCACTGGATTGTCTGGTCCAGACTCGATTATTCACAGACCGCCGTCATATAGCTGGAATACTGCCGAGTGTAGCATTAAACAACAAACAACCTACAACCATGAACTAGTCTGTAAATTGGTACTGCCCATGCTTTGTGTGCGAATTGATTGTTGTAGCCAGTACATTCGTAATGCTTATGTTTAGAATTAATGGGGGGGCATGGGAGGCCCGGTCGTCTAAGGCGTCGCGATGCGCTGTGCAGAGTTGCGTCCCTTGGGCACGCCTGAAATCTATGATTGTGGGTTCGAATCCCGGCTCCCCCAGATTATGTTTCTAGGTTTGTCAGCACCATACACATGCTCGTGAGTTTCACCGAAGTGGTAAATGTCTGAGACCTGCATCACTTTCCTCCCACATTAAGCTGACACGCCGCGATATAACTGGAATACTGTTAAAAGCGGCGCTAAACCCAACTCACTCACTCACTCACTAGCTAGAATTAATGCTTGAGCTTACAAGTTGCAATGCAGAAGTAGGTCAGTAAGCTATCAAGTTGCTATAGATACAGTTGAAACAATAGAATGATGTCATAGCTGTGTTTTAATCATATACAAAATGTCATGCTAGTCCGTGTACCATGGCTCCAAGGAGCACTGTTGGGAATTTGGTGAAAAAGTAGAATTGAAATCGTCACATTTCCTTCCTTCCTATGATCACATGTTCAAATCCCAGTTAGCCCTGGTTGTTTCATGGTTTGTCAGCACCATAGAGGAAAACGTCTAACACAGGCATCACTTAGATCTTTCCTCCCACATGGAGCTGACACACCGTGATATGACTGTAATACTGTTCAAAGCGGCAATGAACCCGACTCACTCACTCACTTATACTAAATGGCCCCAGGTCAGGCATAATGGAGAAATACTGAATAGGAGTAGCCAGGAACTTAGATAGCAGTTGCAGTTATAAAGCTGGTACAGTGATTATGTTGAATAGCAGTTGCAGTTATAAAGCTGGTACTGTGATTATGTTGAATAGCAGTTTCAGTTAAAAAGCTGATACTGTGATTATATTCAAAGCCAAAGGGTTGTATATTTATGAGTCGAAGACCATGTGGCTGACATTTTATTGTTCAACAACATTACAGGTTGTCTCTGAGCGCTATAGTCAGTAGCTTGTGTCCTGTTTGAATGAGGCTGTATTGATGCTATGCTTTACCAAAGGTGAATT